AGAGAGAGAGAGAGAGAGAGAGAGAGAGAGAGAGAGAGAGAGAGAGAGAGAGAGAGAGAGAGAGAGAGAGAGAGAGAGAGAGAGATGTGGGGACACTGTCAGAGTGGATGAATCCGGCTTAATCAGAGAAGTAGAGAGGGTGATACGGTGGAGGAACAAAAAGAGGATGAAGAGGGGTAGAAACAGGAAGAAAGAAAGAGATGGAGGAAAGGGGATCAAGAGGCCAGGTTAAGAAACAAGGAGGCTGAATAAGAAGTATGCAGAGGAGGAAAGGGTAACAAAGAGGAGTTGAGGGGTGTTAAGAGGAGAAGTTGGCGAGGATGGGAGCAGGAGAGCATAGGAGATGTAGATGGACTCCTATAAAGAGGAGAGAAGGGTGAGTGGTTGAGTAACACGGGGGTGTAACTGATTGTTACCTTAACCTCTCCTGTTCAGAAAACATGGCACTTCGAAAAAATTTAATCATTGAAGAAAGACCGTACAGCCTGTTTCCAACATTTTCCCTATTGCCTCCCCCTTCTTGATTTGACGTCGAACTTCACGGTTGTCATCTGAGCTCCTCGCCTTCATCAAAATTTAATCATTGAAGAAAGACCGCACACAGCCTATTTCCAACATTTGCCTTATTGCCGCCCCCTTCTTGATTTCATCTCGAACTTCACGGCCGTCATCTGAGCTCCACGCCTGCAGGGAAAGCGTGAATTTCAATTTTAACACGAGTACTGATTGATAACTGTGTGACTATACAGAACACACTCAGAACCGGGACGTTACTGTATGTATCTGACCACAAAAAACAGCTGTATCCTTCTAGGCCGGGGATCTCAGTTAAAAGAGTCCTACTGAGAGTAACCCCTCAATCGTGCCAGAAATGGTGCCTTTTTTGTTTGTTTGTTTGTTTGTTTGTTTGTTTGTTTGTTTTCTCCTTGCGCAGGGGCGATGCTAATCTTCTCAATATCGTTCCAATTTTAATGGATGTCCTGAAGGACGTTTCTCTTTTTTCTTTTTTCTTTTTTTTTTGGGATCATTTTGGGATTTATGTGTCATCCTTTGCTTGGGGTTCATGCTAACCTTCTCTGTAACATGCCAATCTGAGTAGATGTGCCAAGGGACAGCAGTGGCCCCTTTCTCCTTTTTGCTTATCCACCGCCTGTTTTATAAAGAGGTTTCTTTTACTTTTTGTATGAAAAAAGGTTTCTTCTTTCTCAACACTTGCAAACACACCTCTGCTCTTCTCCTCTGTGCCAAACTGCCGAATGCTATTTCCACTCTCGACAGCTGGCTGATCACTAGAGACAAAGCTGTTAGCTAAAGATCACGAATTCAAATCCGGGAGGAAAGAATAATGGTACGTGTTACCACCTTCCAATGTAGCACACTGCTGCTCTTCTCTCTGGTCAATGTTAGTCCTTGTCCCTGTGTCTCTGTCTGTGTGTTCGGCTGGGTGTCAGTTTGTCTATGCATCTGCCTGTCTGTCTTACCTTCCTGCCTGCCCTGCCTGCCTGTGTATGACTCTGTCTATCTTCCTCCCTGTCTGCCTGCCTGTCTGTGTATCTGTCTATCAGTCTGTCTGCCTGTCTGTGTATCTGTCTATCAGTCTGTCTGCCTGTCTGCGTATCTGTCTATCAGTCAGCCTGCCTGTCTGTCTACCTTCCTGCCTGCCCTATCTTCCTCCCTGTCTGCCTGCCTGCCTGTTTTTCTCCCTGTCTGCCTGCCTGCCTGCCTGCTTGTCCGCGTATCTGTCTATCAGTCTGTCTGCATGTCTGTGTATCTGCCTATCAGTCTGTCTGCCTGTCTGTGTGTCTGTCTACCTTCCTGCCTGCCCTGCCACCTTCCTGCTTGTGTATAGCTGTCTATCTTCCTGCCTGCCTGCCTGCCTGCCTGCCTGCCTGCCTGCCTGCCTGCCTGCCTGTGTATCTGTCTATCAGTCTGTCTGCCTGTGTGTTTATCTGTCTACCAGTCTGTCTACCAGTCTGTCTGCCTGTCTGTGTATCTGTCTATCAGTCTGTCTGCCAGTCTTTCTACCTTCCTGCTTTGTCTATCTTCCTCCCTGTATGCCTGTCTGTGTATCTGTCTATCAGTCAGTCTGCCTGTCTGTCTACCTTCCTGCCTTCCCTGCCCGCCTGCCTGCTTGTGTATAGCTCTGTCTATCTCCCTCCCTGTCTGCCTGCCTGCCTATCTGTGTATCTGTCTATCAGTCTATCAGTCTTTCTACCTGTCTGTGTATCTGTCTGTGTATCTGTCTATCAGTCAGTCTGCCTGTCTGTCTACCTTNCTGTGTATCTGTCTATCAGTCTATCAGTCTTTCTACCTGTCTGTGTATCTGTCTGTGTATCTGTCTATCAGTCAGTCTGCCTGTCTGTCTACCTTTTTGCCTGCCCTGCCCGAATGCCTGCCTGTGTATAACTCTGTCTATCTCCCTCCCTGTCTGCCTACCTGCCTGCCTGTCTGTGTATCTGTATATCAGTCTGTCTGCCTGTCTGTGTATCTGTCTATCAGTCAGTCTGCCTGTCTGTCTACCTTCCTGCCTGCCCTGCCCGCCTGCCTGCTTGTGTATAGCTCTGTCTATCTTCCTCCCTGTCTGCCTGGCTGCCTGCCTGCCTGTCTGTGTATCTGTCTACCAGTCAGTCAGTCAGTCTGTCTGTCTGTCTGTCTATCGGTCTACCAGTCTGCCTGCCTGTCTGTCTACCTTCCGGCCTGCCCTGCCTGCCTGCCTGCCTGCCTGCCTGCTTGTGTATAGCTCTGTCTATCTTCCTCCCTGTCTGTCTGCCTGCCTGCCTGCCCGACTGAAATCCTTACAGTGGACACACTTTGGGCTTTTGGTTTTAGGTTTGGTGTTACATTCGATCACAGGTTCGAACTTAGGGTTGGTCGTGGGTGCGCTTTGGGCACGACCATGCGTTATGTCAGCATAAAGCAGTGCCCATGCGACGAGGCTCGCTCAATAGTGCTTCAACTAGGGCTGGGAGGGAGTTGTCCTGGCCCAGCGCTGGTGCCTGCAACTGCTGTCCGGTATATCTGAGGTAGGGCTTACAGTGCCCCCGTAGATGGAGAAGCAGGGGGTTACGCTAAGGAAGAAAAACGTCAAGGTCCAAAACAAAACGAAAAAGAAAAAGAAAAAAAAGAAATGAGAAGTAGAAGAAGATTAGCATGGCCCTCGAGGAAGGACAACACGCATTTAAACAACAAAGACAACAACAAAAAACAAAAACAAACAAACACTTCTCCAGCCGCAGAATAAACCAACCTTTTGCACACCCCCCCCCCCCCCCCCCCCCCCCCCCCC